GAGAGAGAGAGAGAGAGAGAGAGAGAGAGAGAGAGAGAGAGAGGAATCGGGCATTCAGTATGAAATCTTTTTTAAAGGTATCAACTTACAAATATTGTTAAAAAAATAAATAATATAAATGTTGCCTATCTTACCCCAATTAGTCAAATAAAAAGGAATATAAAACATGCCAAGTGTTATATATATTATAAAATAATTAAATCGATTAAATTTTCAATTGGTTATCAGTCATGGAAAGCCAATAAGCAATATTCATGGAATATTCTGTAGTTTAACATATGTAGCAGCGAATCTAGAGGAGTTTTTTAAAAAGGGAATTCATTGTGTATCTATTCAGAAGCTAATTAAGGACTAATTGGGAAGGCTCTAATGGCACCTCTGTGTTTGTGGTATTGCTCTTGTGTTACTGTAAATATTTGTTCAAAGTTAAGAGCACTTGGTATCATATTTTGGAAATTCAGTGCCACTGGGGCAATGGCAGCAAAAACAGTTCTTTTCCTTTAAAACCTGGCATCCCAGAACTGAAATTTTCCCTTAATCCATGTGTGCTCCCTGAACATCTTACTTTTAAAAAAATGTCCTTTAAAAAAAGGATTTTAAAATCCTTTTTAAGATCCTTTAAAAAACACTACGTAAGTTTCCCATTGCACTAGCAACAGGAAAGTAAGTTAATGTTGCATAAGTATTAATTTCACTAGAGCAATTTCAGTAATGGGAACGTACGGACACCAGTGGATGTTTCTATTTATTTGTTTATTTATTTAGTGTGCATACTGTTGTTACATGATGTCAGGTTGTCTCCATGCCTATGAATGAAAGCCCTCCAAAATAGTCTGTCAGGGACAGCTCTGTTCAAGGCTGGTAATTCCCTTATGGATCCAATCCATCCCATACATTTTGTATGTACATCCAGGCTTTTTCTTCTTACAGGGAATCCAAGGTGGTTTACACGGTCTTCTTCCTCTCCATTGCATCCTTACAACAATCCTGTGAGGCACGTTATCTTGAGAATGACTGAATGGCCCAAAAGCTCCCAAGGAACTTCGTGGCTGAGAAGAGGCCTTAACCTCGATCTCCCAGCTCCCAAGTCCAATGCTGCTATGCCACACTGCCTCCCTCAAGCTCGAAATGCACGCAATGTGGTCCAAGCACATTGTGTCCATGTTTGGGTTGTCTTTTTAAAGGAAAGCTGTTTGGGGTTGGGGTCAGTTGGGGTTGTGAGATTTTTCCTACACAAGTGACCAAAGTTTATATGCTTGCCAAATTCCTCACTAAACTTTTCTGTGTTTCAGGTCTGCTTCAGTTTAGTAGCATTGCCTCAGAAAGTCCAAAAGCATGTTTTATTCACATTTTATTGTCCTTTCTAATGACCGGTTAAGGTGGCTATTTGGAGCACAGAAACATGAAAGTGGTTACACAATCACATTTCCAAACACAGGGAGTAGTTTTCTTTGTGTGTGTGCTTCCTTATCTTGGCCTTTTCCATCTTTCCTTTAGGCTCCAAAACTCCAGATGGTCTCTTTGAACTGCAGTTGTTTATTGGTGCTTTGCTTCCAGCTACAAGACAAGGTAACTCTAACCCTGTAGTGAGTTGAAAGGTAGGTCTCTGCTCATGTCAAGAATGTGGGAACCAGATTGAGAACCACTCCCCAAAATTCTTCCCTTTCAGTACTGTGTGGGCTCTCCTTGTCCTGATCTTGAGCCTGGATCTGAATCATGATGACCCCAGGATGCCTGCCAAGAGTGATGGTCTAGTTCACACACATACAC